GATAATCCCCGAGCAGCAGAGGTCACCAGGCAACACCCAGGTCTGCAGAGACGAGCACTCCGTGTTCTCTTGGACCTCTTTCCAAGTTTTGCGTGTTTGCTCAGCACATTCTTCTCTGAGAGGCATGGAAACAAACCAATCTGCTTTCTCTATATTTGTTATTAGATTCATGAAAGGAGACACAAAACATAGTTTCCAACTCTCCACTGGGCCCTCCAGTGGAGTTTTTCATTATGAACTTTGGAGTCAAAGTGCTTGAGTTGAAATCATGGTTCCACCATTTATTGGATGACTTTGGGAAAAATTACTTAACCTCTCTGTGCCTCAGTTTCGTCTCTGTAAAAGAAAAATTTAAGTATCTGAAACTTTATGGCTTTGCCATGAGTTAAAAGAGATAAAGCACAAGTGCTAATAAATTTGAGTTATATTACTAGTGACTAAGGGTTTGATCCCTGGGCTGGGTTACAGTGCATGGGGTCGCAAAGAGTTGGACGTGACTGAGTGACTTAACGCTTCCGCATTACAAGGGTTCATTATTCTACCAAAGTATTGGGACATAAACATTTTGAGAAATAAATCGACACTGTGCATTAAAGAGGGTTTAGGTCCTACATTTTAAAGCAGAAGCAAAATAACTGTTAGTCTCTCAGTCATGTCCAACTCTTTGCAACCCTATGGACTGAAGCCCGCCAGGATCCTGTCCATGGAATTTTTCCAGGCAAGAACACTGGAGTGAGTAGCCATTCCCTTCTCCAGGGGAACTTTCCCACCCAGGGATCAAACCCGGGTCTCCTGCATTGGCAGGTGGATTCTTCACCATCTGAGGCACCATGGAAGCTCAAAATAATTAAATCATCCAAATGAGCAAATTAGTAAAAGACTTATTTAAGAGGATACAATAAATTCTTGTTTCAAAATAATCATCTACTTCTTCCAACTTCGATGTTACAGGGACAAAAATGTGTGAGTCACAGGTGGCAAGAATTAATCTTTGTTGAGTTGGAGAGTCCCAGGCATTGTGCTTCTGACACATTCATTACAAGGCAACAAATGAGTATTTTCAGAAGAGCCACTTTTCCCCTCCTCCTCAAGGGCACATGCTGCAAAATGAAAAGCAGCAAAGGAAAATAACCAGAAGGAAAACACACTGGGGCCTTAGAAAGTGGGCTCACCAAGCAAGTCAAATGCCAAAGCAGTGGTTCAAAGCACATCGCAGCTTTAATCACTTATTCTGTATGAAAACTAATTAAATATTCTCTATAATTTTAAATTAAATCTACCAACACATTGGTAACTATCACATACTGGGAATGTATTCCTTTTCGCTCCACTTGGTTGTTTTTGCCCACAGAACGTTGAGGAAAATACTGAATAAATACATTTTATTAAAACATACACAAACAACTCTGTCACAAATTGATGTAAATGGTTACGTATCCCTCCCATCCAAATTTTGGCTTATATAACCTTAAAAAAACAACAGTGGTGTAGGCCACCAAAAACCTATGGATAAAGATGGTAGATTAAGTACTGAAGCTCCGAATCAGAAAGGAAATAGCTATAAACCAAAATAGAAAGCAAAATAATGAAGAAAAGTGACAACTCATGTCAAAATCTGGGTAAATTTTAATAGGCTCAAGCCTGAGAAGAGAATTTTCCTAAAATGTTGGTTCTTAAGGGGACATTCCTAGGTTCAACTGAACACAAAAGAGAAGGGAATTTCCCTAAAGAAGTTTTCTGAGCCAGAAGAAAATCAAATTATGCTTGAAAAACAAAAGCAGAGATTAATAATGCCTGTCTTTCTCCCCTACCCACTTCTCTGGATATACTTCAGTATAGGTTTTCCTGCTGGAGGCCATTTATTAACTCTATACTCTGTTTTCTCAACACAACCAAATCTAGTCTTAACCCTCTGCGTCTCAGAGGGTTGATAAATGAGACAATTATTTTCAGTCCCCTCATGAGCTGGGAAACTACAATCTGGAGGTACTCAAACATATTCAGACATATAGACATACTAAGCCTCAGATTAAAGAAACAGCAACTGATTGCCAAAAGGATATTATTTATGGCCACTATTAAAAATGATTTCTTATATATAATTTTAAGAAAGTATCAAGAGAGGCACTGTGATTTAAACAAAACTGAAAACCATTTCTCACAATATTTCATATACTCAAAAAGTTTTGTGCAAAAAACTTGTAAGCTAGAATAATGCTGGTCTCGAGTTCTTAAAAAAGGTTTTAAGAAAGCTAAGCATGAGTTCATAATCGGATATTTGTGATTTTGAAAGAAAAAAAGGGCAAAGCTAATAAAATGCTGCTAGAAAACAAAGTGATAAAGTTTTTGCAATTGCATGCCATCTCTAGTTCTTTGCCAGATTCTTAAGCTATAAAAATTTGTAAAAGAAGTTGATGAAAAGTAAATATGTGATGGTTATATTGAAGGGTTTTCACAACTGGAGACACTAAGATATATTTATTTAGTTGGAAGAGGACGTAGCAATGAGAGCCTTTCAATTATAATGACCATTTTAGAGTTCATTAGAAACTATCAATCAAACACATCTGAGCCAGTGCCCCATCTTAAGATGCCCAGTATTGTGCATGTTAAGTCGCTTCAGTCATGTCCAGTGCTGTGCAACCCTATGGACTGCAGCCTGCTGGGATCCTCTGTCCACAGGATTCTCCAATCAAGAACACTGGAGTGGGATTCCATATCCTCCTCCTAGCAGGTGCAACAGCCAGTAAGTCTTTGGGAGTCAGAGGATGTTGGCTCTTTAAATACAACTAACTAAATACAACTGTCTTCTATGTTGTAGCAGGTAACAAGGACTATTTTAAAATAGGAGCTTTAAGAGAGCTTATTTTTGAAAACTTGGAGTGAAACCCTTCTCAAAAAATGTGCTGTTAGGGTTTTCCTTTTATGTAATGAAAGAACAATAAAAGGCAGGTGGAATTATACTAGGAGAAAAAAACAGAAATTACATTTCTCAAGCAGAAGTGCTAGGATGAAGAAAAATGATAATAACCATCACTATCTGAGGTGGTATCTATTTTAATGTACTTAAAAGACACGACTATGACTGAGTGCTTAAAGAAAGAAATGCAGAGGAAAGTGAAAATTAACATATGTGCCTGACATTTTGTTTTCTGTTCTTAAGGGTATATTTTTAACCCTGGGACAGAGTTAGTATCCCAAATCTTTATTCTACCACAAACTAATCTCTGTTTCTTGTCCTCTTCTCTCTTCTCCAAGTCACTCTCCAGAGTCTGATGATAACAATTTGGTACCCCTTAATTCATTCTTGTGATACCCTCGTAAAGAGTTCAAAATCCACACACTTTAACTTATGTCAACATACCAAGAAACCAAGATGTCAAGACAACAGATTTGGTTTAGAGATGACACTTGAAAGACTGTGTTAAAGATGAAGACCATTTCATGTCACACAGACCCCTGCCTACTCTGAGTTCAGACACTGTGACAAAAACACAGCTGATGCTGACAAAACATGACCCTATGTGATGTGGCCAGTGGAACTTATGCTCTTGAACAGCAGCTCTTGAGGTAGAAGATCGACTCATTACTAAATATGTGAATAATATCTAAGTTAATAATGGTTCAATATCATTGTGAATAATATCTAAGTTAATAATGGTTCAATATCAAAGTTTAAAAACTGCACAAAGATGCTGTGAAAGTCCTGTATCTATACTTCAGTAAGAAGCTAAATAAAGTCAATCAGAAGGTTTGGAATGAGATTGTTTTCCTTATGGATTTTTAAAATATATATATATTTCTTTAGGATCTTTATATATTCTCTGCATTGATCTTCCATTTCCTTGCAACACTTGTAGTTCAAATCAAGACAGAAAAATCAAATCTTAAAAACTGTGCATCCCTCCTTTTCTTGCATCCAGTCCTCACATAAGAGACGCAGGAGGCCAGTCCGACCCAGAAAAGTGAGGAGGCCAGTCCGACCCAGAAAAGTGGGGGGCAGGGACCTGGGAGAGGACTTGTGCTGGGGGCGGGTCCCAGGGCAGGTGAGGAGACACTGGGAAGGAAGGCATCTAACAGACTCCCAGACTAGCCATTTGGGCTTAAGAGATCGCTGGACTCAGGAGGTTAAATATCTGTAGAAACAGAATTTTTAAGGCTCCTTCTAGACAATCCAGTTCTATAAATAGGTAATTCATTCTATGTTTTAAAAATACTGGTTTTGAACAAACCAGGTATGGTTCTGGTACATGCCATCTATCTTCAGGTGATCAGAAAACCAACTGGCCTGTTTCAGAGGTTGCTGTCTTTCTTTGATTAGCAGTAGCAAGTCCCCATGAACTTATCCTAGAGGCAGGCAGTTAGGAGAAGCTAAGGAGAACGTGGAGAGCACTGGTGAGGAGTGGCAGAGATGCTCCCTTCTCAGAGTCCCAGAGGCCCCTCTCAGACAGAGGGTAAGAACACAACTGTGCATTTCATTAGTCTCCGAAGGAAACCGAAGTTTCTGTTCCTTTCATGAACAGCCTTCTATAAACACCTGCAGACACCTTCCCTAATCCTGACAACACTTCATGTAAAGATGGAAAGTACTAGACCTGGTGCGGATGGTACAGAGTGAAAATGATGCCTAAACAAGCCTCTGGTCCCCTGACCCAGGAAACAGCACAGTCGTTCAAAGATTGGAAGAGAATGAGCTTTGTTGTTTGGTTGCTGAGTCCTGTCTGACTCTTTTGTGACCCCAGGGACTGTAGCCCACCAGGCTCCTCTATCCATGGGATTTCCTGGGCAAGAATACTGGAGTGGGTTGCCATTTCCTCCTCCGGGGATCTTCCCAACCCGGGATCGAACCTACGTCTCCTGCACTGACAGGCAGGTTCTTTACCACTGAGGAACCTGGGAATCCCAAGAGAATGAGCTACTGGGCTAATAACAAAGATCTGTGAGGGCCAGCAAAGAGCAGCTCAGAAGCAGCCAGGGTACAAGAAAACAGGCAGCACGGCTCACTTTCTCACTCTCCCTCTGGACAGGACCTCTGCATAGGAGGTGTGAATGAAGTCATAGAGCTGCCGCGCACTGCCCGTGTTCCCCAGCAGGCTCGCCAGCTGGTCGAAGGGCAGGCTTGCTAACTCAGCGATGTTCTTCACGTGGTTCATCAAGGAGCGGCAGTTTTTGGCGTTTATCCCCGGCATTTTTAACAAGAAGTCCTGGGGCCCGGGGTTGTACTTCTCCGCCTCGGGGAGGGTCTCGGAGTCGGCGGTCACTGCCATGGCGGTGCTGGCGTCCGGCTGCGGCTTGTTCTGCTTCAGCTCCTCGAACAGCTCGGCGGTGGCGTGCGGGGAGGGGCACCAGAGGATCCGCAGCCGCGGGAAGTGCAGCGTGAGGAGGGTGAGCTTGGAGCTGACGTCGTTGCCGGAGATCTCCTGGTGGAGGGCGCCGCGGGACATGAGGGAGAACGGCTTGGTGGGGTCGAACTCGATGAGAAGCACCGGCCGCTTGTAGTAGCGGGACATGGAGATGCACTGGCTGTAAAGGCGGCCGTTGTTCAAGGAGCCAATCAGATCACTGATGCTCTTGCGCTCCACGCACATTTCCGGAGTCAGAATGTAGTCTCCGACCTCCAGGGTCACTGGCTCGATGTCGATGCCCCGGCGGTGGATCAGAGAGGGCAGCTCACTTCGAAACTCCCGCATGTCCACGACGATGCTCTGCTGGGTACCGTTCTGCTCCTGGCCGCCTGGGAAGAAAGAGAAGCATTTTAAGAAACATTGCTGAGGAGTAACTCTCAAAGATGGAAGATCACAATTAAAGTCAGATGTCTGTGTTTCTGCTATTAGTCTCTCACGCCTGGTTGCACAGTATTACTTTATTCCACATTTTCCCATATTTTCAAAAAGGTTTATTTACGGTTGAAGGCAATTTCCCTGAAACTAAATAGAGCTACTAGGACACTGGGTCTCTTGGTAAATACTTCCTTACACAGAATTCACAAACACCAACACTCACCATCGTCTTCCCTCTGGGGCTCCTCTGTGCTCCCTCACTGCTGCACTGACCACCCTTTGATGATCACCGTCATCCCAATTCCTAGGGAGAGCCTAGCATGCAGTAGATGTTTAGTAATGTCCTCTCAATAAACTGCCATGTGAGCTGCTGTGAAAAATTTTGAAGCGTTTTGTGCTTGTATCAATGAGTCCAGAGACAGAAAAATGGAAGAAGCTGGGAGAAACACGAGCACAGAGCTTCTCCCACTGATGTGCGTATGAATTGCCTGGGATGCAGTGAAAACACCTACTGCATTCTGTAGGTGTGGAAGAGGGTCCCAGAGGCTGTGTTTCTAACAGGCTCCCCGGTGATGCCAACACTGCTGGCTGAAGGACCTGCTTCTGTAGGTAGAATAATGCCCCCCTCCTCCGGAAGATGTCTCTGTCCTGACCCCTGGAAGCTGCAAATATGTTACTTTACACAGCAAAGGGGACTCTGGAAATGTGATTAAATTAGAGGTCTCAAGATTGGAAGATTCTTCTGGATTATGGAGACAGGTCCAAGGGCCCTTATAAGCAAAGGAGAGAAGTAGGAAGCTCAGAGGCAGAGCTGCTGGTGTTGAAGGTGGAGGAAGGAGCCACGAGTGAGGGAGCCGGCAGCCCTGGATGACCTGGAAGAGGAAGGGATTCTCCCCCAGAGCCTCCAAAGGGAGCGCAGCCTTGCAGACACCTTCTTTTTAACTCAGTGAAACCCATTTGGACTTTGGATTGTATAATAACTCTTAGATAATGACTGCATGTCATTTCAAGACACTAAAGTTTGTGGCAATTTGTTACAGCAGCAAAGGGAAGCTAATACGAGTGCTGAGAAGACTGAACTCAGAGGGCAGATTTCTGTGAATAGCTTTTCATGTGGTACCCACAGGCTCTACCTTCCTTCATATTGCCGGGTATTCCTGCTGTCTTGCAGGAAATGTCCCCAACCTGTTTAAGAATCTTCTTCAAAAGACACAGATCCTCTGATGAGGCCGTGTTTCCCAAAGTATGGTCCAAGGACCACTTCCATCAGATGCTGACCCCATTTCAGATCTATCAAATCGGAATTTCAATGGAGTGGGATCCATGAATCTATAGTTTTAACAAGCATCAGAGGCTATTCTGAAGGACAGTGAATTCTGAGACGCACTGCTTTAACTGCGTTGACCTCACCAAAGGAGAAAGTGACTCAGCCACAGTTTTTCCCATGCCACCTGGCTGAAGGCAGCTGCTGAAATGGAGATCTGGGGAGTGGGAGGGACATGGTCATCCTCGGACTGCAGTGCAAGGGGCATCCAGCATGTCTCGGTGGAAGGCCACTGGCTGGATGCGGCACAGCAGTGAGAGTACCACACACCTGTGGTCTAGAAAAATGCCAGGAAGCAATCAACAAACACTGGAAGGGGTGGGAATGCACCCTGAACAATGAACCCTGTCTCTTATCTATGAGGACACTGGCCTCTTTGGGTTAAGATAGGAACCCAATCACCATTCACAAAAGCTTCTTGGCAAAAGTATATTCTGAATCTCAACTAATACTGGAATGTAACTTATTTCCAATGCTGGTGCCTAGAACACAACCCCCCTATCTTATGGGTAAAGAGTCTGAGATTCAGAAAGACATGTGCTTAGTGAACAGCAGAGCTGAGGCTGAGATATGAGAGCAGACACCCATGGTGAAGAGCTTGTTGAGAAAAACCAAGCTCCTGCAGAGAGACTCTGGAGCCCCACAGCCTCCGGCAGGGGCAGCAGGAGAGCTTGGCAGAGAGTGGGACTCACCGGCTTTTCGCGTGTTGGTGGGAGCACTGGCAGACATGCAGCCTCTCACAAGGTCGAGATTCGTTTCGTCTCTGCCTTCTCTTTCTTCAGGGATGACCATGCTAGCCTTTTCCCTGGGGGTGGGAGGAACACATCTTCAACCTTTCTGAATTAATTTCAAAATTCCTGATTTTAATCTTTGGTAAATTATAACAAAGAAAATATCTATGCAACTGTAGTGCTAAAAGAGAACCCAGAAAACATCAGAAGGATGTTTGGGTATGAGCCAAATATGCACAGACAAGCGATGGGGAATGGAAGCAGAGTTTCTTGGTTGGGTACTTCTGCTCATCTTCTGGAGTTAAAAAAGAAAAAAAAACTTACTTATTTTCTATTCTGTATGTCCTCCAAACACTTTTGAGTCATGAAATAAGCATATGAAGACCGCCACAAAGAGGTTACTGAGGTTTTTATACAAATGTGCTAAATGTGTTATTGAGCACTGAAAAGAATTCAAATAATTCATATTCCAATATTATCAGAGAAATCATAGATAAGATAATTAAAGACCAATGATTAAAGACATGAAAACATAAATGGCCAAACTAACTTTGATTTGAAAAACTCTAGGTGGGAGGCCCCATTAAACACTCTCCAGTTTTAAAGGAAAATCATGATTAATATAAGAAAGCAAATTTCCAACAGAGATTTAAACAAAAAAAAATTGACATCTCAGGTTATGCAGTATGGCAGTATTGATTCACTAACTTAGCTGTTTAAAACATTTAGGGCAGGCTCCCACATACTATGCGAGGTAATTTGGATACAAATATGGTTACCCAATAATTTCTGTCTTCAAGAAAGCTTAGCACCTTAAGCTGGTAGACTGACAAGCCTATAGAATCCTAACTCAGATTTGCAATCAGGAACCAGAATCATGACAGGACCCTCAATAGCCACAGGAAGACTAAGCCAGGCTTGCCATCCTCTGATTTTTCAAAACTAGTAAAAGGATGTTAGAATCAGTTCAGGAAACAGCAGGCTCTGTGGGTCCTTTTGTGCCAGGTCAACAGAAAAGATGCATAAGACTGCGTCTCTGCCCTGGCTGGGCTTGCAACTGAGTTGAGGAAATACAGCAACGTGAAAAACCACCGTGGAACTGACTGCCTGCAATAAGAGAGTCTGCGGAAGGCAAAACAAGAGGAATCATTAGCAACCAGTGATTCCAACAAGGGCTCGTAGCCAAGGGTTTTCCAACGAAAGAAGATAAAATCCGATGGAGAAATTCCGCAGCCCCTCTGGATGCGCAATGTCTTAGGGCAGGGTACCAAAAAGAGGTCCATGGGTGAACAGAAACTCAAGTTTATAAATTCTATACTATTTGAAATAATATACAAATGCAAAGTTGTTATTAGTGTAACACTTTATGAACAGATTGCATAGGCCAATCACTCCAGTTCTGTTCTGGCCCATTATTCTCAACATCAGCGTCAAGGGTGGCTACTGCAGAATTCTTTGCAGTGATCACAACTCCAGAGTCACTCAGTACTGCCCTGTCACATCTACCAGACTCCAGCTGGGGACACATGGCAAATGGTCCAGAGAGCTTACTGCTCTTAAATTTCTTTTACATTTGGGATCAACATGGGGGATTTTTCCCCCTCTGTATCTCCACTTACCCTACTGACTAAGCCATCACAGGCAGCGGCAGCTTCCTTTCCTAATCAATCTGTTATCTGTGCGTGACTGCAGAGAACAGGGGGTTAGAATGCAGACTCTGCATCCACATGTTGTGGGTTCGAAACCACTTACTGGCTGTGTTGACTTTAGGTGAGTTTTTAAAAAGCTCTGTCCCTCAATTCTGTCTGAAAATGGGAAGAATACTAAAACCTAACCTCAACAGGTTAGGGGAAGCACAAGCTGGAATCAAGATTGCCGGGAGAAATATCAATAACCTCAGATATGCAGATGACACCACCCTTATGGCAGAAAGTGAAGAGGAACTAAAGAGCCTCCTGATGAAAGTGAAAGAGGAGAGTGAAAAAGTTGGCTTAAAGCTCAACATTCAGAAAACTAAGATCATGCCATCTCATCCTATCACTTCATGGCAAATAGATGGGGAAAGAGTGGAAATAGTGGCTTATTTTTCTGGGCTCCAAAATCACTGCAGATGGTGACTGCAGCCATGAAATTAAAAGATGCTTACTCTTTGGAAGGAAAGTTATGACCAACCTAGACAGCATATTAAAAAGCAGAGACATTACTTTGTCAACAAAGGTCCATCTAGTCAAGGCTATGGTTTCTCCAGTGGTCATGTATGGATGTGAGGGTTGGACTATAAAGAAAGCTGAGTGCCAAAGAATTGATGCTTTTGAACTATGGTGTTGGAGAAGACTCTTGAGAGTCCCTTGGACAGCAAGGAGATCCAACCAGTCCATCCTAAAGGAGATCAGTCCTGGGTGTTCATTGGAAGGACTGATGTTGAAGCTGAAACTCACTTTGGCCACCTGATGCGAAGAGCTGACTCTTTGGAAATGGCCCTGATGCTGGGAAAGATTGAGGGCAGGAAGAGAAGGGGACGACAGAGGATGAGATGGTTGGATGGCATCACTGACTCAATGGACATGGGTTTGAGTGGACTCCGGGAGTTGGTGATGGACAGGGAGGCCTGGCGTGCTGTGGTTCATGGGGTCGCAAAGAGTTGGACACGACTGAGCAACTGAACTGAACCTTAACAGAACGTTACAAAGATCACGTAAGACATGTAAGGCACTCAGAGTAGTGCCCGGAACATAACAAGCACCATATGTTAGCTTTTATTAATGTCATAACTGTGTGCTCAGTCACTCAGTCATGTCTGACTCTTTGTGGCCCTCATGGACTGTAGCCCGCCAGGCTCCTCTGCCCATGCAATTTTTTAGGCAAGAATACTGGAGTGGGTTGCCATTTCCTCCTCCGGGGGATCTTCCCCACCCAGGGATTGAATCTGTGTCTCTTGTGTCTCCTGCACTGGCAGGCTGATTCTCTACCACGGAGCCACCTGGGAAGCCCTATAATGTACTAACCTCATCCCCTAATTATCCATGACTATGCTAAAAAAAAAACTGGCAAAGGAAATGGCAACCTACTCCAGTATTCTTGCCTGGAAAATTCCATGGACAGAGGAGCCTGGCGGGCCATAGTCCACAGGGTCGCAAATAGTCTGACATGACCAAACACGCACTCGCATGCTAAAAAACAGATTTCTTTCAAATGATCCTGCAACTGCTTCAGTTAATACTGTTAAACAAAACAGCTAGTTTACTATGAAATGTAACTGCAAATTAAATCTCAGAAAAAAAAACATACTCTTGAAATGAAACCAGGGTTGTGAAGAAAATATTAAGTCTTCCTAACCAGTAACTCAAATTAGTTTAACAGAAATTTGTCACACTTAAAAATATTCAGTCCCTTGTTCACAACATTTAGCATAATCAAATTACTGTATGTGACAGATACAAAATAATAATTGAACAATTCAGATTCCTACGTCCACCTGAAATACTGTGGTTTCTTAATATTGCTCTAATATCTCTAGTGGTATTTGAATAGCTTGTACAACGTGATAAAACAGGGAGGAGGTATTGGACTAGGAGTCTCTTCAAATAGGCATTTATTCAAGTCCTCATGCTAACCCATTTTGTGATCATATTTTTTTAACTGTAAAATTTCAAATAATCTAACCCTTCCCTTTGAAAAGTGGTGACCTCTCAAAAACTATGTTTACTCAGAATGTTATTACTAATTTTTTGACCCAGGGAGCATTTTATTATCAATACTGAGACATGTAATCTTTTTTTTCTTTACTTGTCATCTGTAATCTACTGATCTCTAGTCCAGCCAAACAGTCCTTTCACTGCCAGCTTGCCTGATTCATTCCTCTCTGGTTATTTTAAATAGCAGCATTGCTTTTGTTCTTACAAAATCACTTGTGGAGGTCCTGGCAAAAGTGCATTTCCTCAGTCTCCCATTACATTTTTCTCTAAGTCCAGGCTCAGTGCAAATGCTCTTTCAGCCATGCACCTCACATATATTTTGCTTTTCAAAACAAACACTTCTCAAATTCCCCAAGTTTTCTGGGAAAGTAAATATCTTAAGATTCTAAATAGTGTTATTATCTGTGTGATATGGCAAGACCTAACTTAATATGCAGACAGTCACCGCTGAGAGAGTTAGAAAATTAGGCCAGGCCATATAGATAAAATCTGGTATGGAAATTGCTGTAGAAATTGAAATGTAGGAGAAAGGCTACATCCTGGGTTCTGCTGAGAGATGTTTCCAGTCAAGGCCGGGTTGATCTGATCCTTGTCACTAAGCCCTTTGAGTGCAGAGTCCCTTGTACAAGCTGGTAAGTGCATGCGGGTCCCCAACACCTGGCTACAGTCCACTAATGACACTCTTTTCTAGGCTACGTTCTGATGAACTGGAGAAGATGCAGCTGTGGGAAGGAGGCCTGGCACATACAACTCACCTACTCAGATGCTACAGGCACCCTGGGTGGACTACAGCTCTGGGCAGGAAAGGGTTGAGAGAGCAGGCCTGGGATGCTCAAACCCTGCACATTTCCAAGAAAGGCCTGTCTCCACAGCTTGTCTTTCTGGAAACCCCTGGCCAGCTTCTGGGAGCTGAGATCTGAGTTCTTGGACTACTCCGTCTGGTAAGAGGATCACACAGCAGGCCCCAGTGTGATTTATGGTGAATACATGTTTCATCTCCAGGGAGCCGGAGTCTGTCCCTTGAGTACTGCATCTTTATGACTGACTCCCAGTAAAAACACTGGACCCCAACTCTCGGGTAAGCTTCCCTGAGGATAATGCTGAGTGTGTGCTGTCACACACGGATGCCAGAATTAAGCACTTCCCTGGGACCTCACTGCAAGAGGACACTCGGAAGCTCATGCTGGAGGTCTCCTGGACTTGGCTCCATGCATTCTTTCTCTCTGCTGATTTTACTCTGTGTCCTTTCTCTGTAATTAACCACAATGGTGAGGATCCCAGTTTATCTGACTCCTGTGGGTCCTTCTGGTGACTCACTGAACCTGAGGGTGATCTTTAGGGACCCTCAACGTAAACACCGACAACCTCATCTGAATATCTTAGTTCCATGTACTCACTGTAATCTAGAGACAGTCACTTTAATCAGAGAAGCCTGAGGCAAAGGATATTTCAAAAAAAGTGAAAGAGCCAATTAGGAGGTTACTGGGCCACATCCAGTGGCATCAATTCTTGGACTCCATTTCCTCAATATCGCTTAAATCTCTCCCCTTCTCTCCATCAATCTAATCTTAGCTGCCACTGGTTCTTATCGAACAACTGCAATAGCTTCCTGACTACTTCCCTACTCCATCCATTCCAAGTCTGGTGCCAGAGAGAGCCTCTGAAAACACACTACGTCACTCTCCTACTTAGAACTCTGCAGTGCTGTCTTACGGCCTTCAGAGTAAAGTTCTTAATCCTTAACAGGCCTCCTGCACCTCTGAGCTTTCACACACACTCTTGAACAACACAACCCTTGGCCCACTTTTGTCTACTCATACTCAGCAACCAACACACAGGCTGCCTAGGTCAGCTTAAAGGTCACCCCTCAAGAGATGCTGCCCCTGACACCACCACCCCCGCCCCCCCCCCGCCCCCAGTCCCTCTGACAAACTCTCGATAGCATTTTCTTTCAGCTATGCAGGCTACAGCCTGCAGGTGTTTATTAGACTGTGCACAACCATTCAATGTTTGTCTTTTACACTAGGGTATAAGCTCTAGAAGACAGAACTGAGCTTTTTTTTCTGCACCACTGTAAGTCTAGCACTTTAATGTGAGGACAGGAGGAGTTGGATCATAATAGATGCTCAAGAAATATCTGTTGACTGAGTCTTGGGAGATGAAGGTCTAGGAGACACAGAGAGAAGCTAAATGTTCTGAACAGGAAGAGGAAGTCTGTATAACACATGGTTATAACACTTTCTGGAATATTTTTTTCAAAAAGCATATATACACACATATAAAATATCCTCCATGGATTATAGCTCACCAGGATTTTCTGTCCATGGAATTCTCCAGGCAAGAATACTGGAGTGGGTAGCCAATCCCTTCTCCAGGGAATCTTTCAAACCCAGAGATCAAATCCAGGTCTCCTGCCTGCACTATAGGCAGATTCTTTACCATCTGAGCCACCAGGGAAGCCCACAAACTATCCTCCAGAACACATTAATAGAAATACACATCCACAAAACACCAGAGAGGAAAGTCAGTTTTCATTTCAATTGCAAAGAAGGGCAATGCCAAAGAATGTTCAAACTACCATACAACTGTGCTCATTTCACATGCTAGCAAAGTAATGTTCAAAATCCTCCAAGCTAGGCTTCAACAGTATGTGAACTGAGAAATTCCAGATGTACAAGCTGGATTTAGAAAAGGCAGAAGAATCAGAGATCAAATTGCCAACATTCATTGGATCACAGAAAAAGCAAGAGAATTCTAGAAAAACATCTGCTTCACTGACTATGTTAAAGCCTTTGACTGTGTGGATCACAACAAACTGTGGAAAATTCTGAAAGAGAAGGAAACACCAGACCACCTGACCTGCCTCTTGTGAAACCTGTATGCAGGTCAAGAAGCAACAGTTAGAACTGGACATGGAACAGTGGACAGGTTCAAACTTGGGAAAGGAGTTGTTTACTCAACTTACATGCTTATTTAACTTCTATGCAGAGTACATCATGCGAAATGCTAGGCTGGATGAAACACAAGCTGGAATCAAGACTGCTGGGAGATATATGAACCACCTCAGATATGCAGAAGATACCACCCTAAGGGCAGCAAGTGAAGAGGAACTAAAGAGCCTCTTGATGAAGGTGAAAGAGAAGAGGAGAAAAGGCTGGCTTAAGACTCAATATTCAAAAAATAAAGATCATGGCATCCAGTCCCATCACTTCATGGCAAATAGAAGGGGAACAGTAGGCATGTACAGATGTGAGAGTGGACCATAAAACAAGTTAAGCACCAAAGAATTGATGCTTTTTAACTGTGATGCTAGAGAAGACTCTTGAGTCCTCTGGACCACAAAGAGATCCAACCAGTCAATCCGAAAGGAAATCAACCCTGCATGTTCACTGGAAGGACTGATGTTGAAGCTGAAGCTCCAATACTTTGGCCACCTGATGCAAAGAGCTGACTAACTGGAAAAGACCCTGATGCTGGGAAAAATGGAGGGCAGGAGGAGAAGGGGAAAACAGAGTTTGAGATGGCTGGATGGCATCACCGACTCGATGGACATGAGTTTGAGCAAACTCCGGGAGATGGTAAAAGACAGGGAAGCCTGCGTGCTGCAGTCCATGGTACTGCAAAGAGTCAGACACAACTCAGCAACGGAACAACAATGAAACAGGCTCAAGACATAGAGAAAAGACTTCCCAAGGTGGAGAGGGGCTGGGGGAGGGAAGGACTGAGAGTTATATGTGTGTAACTGAATTGCTTTGCTGTATGGTGGAAATTAACACAAATTACAAATCAACCACACTTCAATAAAAACTAAAAGAAAATATATTTTCACAGGCTGAAAGGACTGTCCCATAACTGTGGATCGATAGCTGTAAGAATCCTTGCCTAAAGGTGAAAAGACAGCCCTCAGAATGGGAGAAAATAATAGCAAACGAAGCAACAGACAAAGGATTAATCTCAAAAATATATAAGCAACTCCTGCAGCTCAACTCCAGAAAAATAAATGACCCAGTCAAAAAATGGGCCAAAGAACTAAACAGACATTTCTCCAAAGACATACAGATGGCTAACAAACACATGAAAACATGCTCAACATCACTCATTATCAGAGAAATGCAAATCAAATCCACAATGAGGTACCATTATACGCCAGTCAGGATGGCTGCTATCCAAAAGTCTACAAGCAATAAATGCTGGAGAGGGTGTGGAGAAAAGGAAACCCTCTTAAAACTGTTGGTGGGAATGCAAACTAGTATAGCTGCTATGGAGAACAGTGTGGAGATTTCTTAAAAAACTGGAAATAGAACTGCCATATGACCCAGCAATCCCACTCCTGGGCATGCACACCGAGGAAACCAGATCTGAAAGAGACACATGTACCCCAATGTTCATCGCAGCACTGTTTATAATAGCCAGGACATGGAAGCAACCTAGATGCCCATCAGCAGACGAATGGATAAGGAAGCTGTGGTACATACACACCATGGAATATTACTCAGCCATTGAAAAGAATTCATTTGAATCAGTTCTAATGAGATGGATGAAACTGGAGCCCATTGTACAGAGTGAAGTAAGCCAGAAAGATAAAGACCATTACAGTATACTAACACATATATATGGAATTTAGAAAGATGGTAACGATAACCCTATATGCAAAACAGAAAAAGAGACACAGATGTACAGAACAGACTTTTGGACTCTGTGGGAGAAGGCGAGGGTGGGATGTTTTGAGAGAACAGCATCGAAACATGTATATTATCTAGGGTGAAACAGATCACCAGCCCAGGTTGGATGCATGAGACAAGTGCTCGGGCCTGGTGCACTGGGAAGACCCAGAGGGATCGGGCAGAGAGGGAGGTGGGAGGAGGGATCGGGATGGGGAATACATGATTTGTGTCAATGTATGACAAAAACCACTACAATATTGTAAAGTAATTAGCCTCCAACTAATAAAAATAAATGGAAAAAAAAAATCCTTGCCTAAGACATGCCACAATCACAAAGGAGGGGAAGGGGAGGGAAGGACAGCACAGGGTGCTGCCCACATACTGTGCTGAGTGTCTTTACAGGGGCTCAATGGCACTGATTCAGGAAGTGCTCCTGTGTCTGGAAACCATTCCTGGATGCACTGGGGTTATCCACATATTTTAGGCATATACTGAAAGCCCATAGCCAGTCACCCACCCAAGACAATGGAGATTTCACAAGGGAAAAAAAAAATCATGATTCCAAGCGAAGGGAGAAATCTTGGACATGGGGGAGGGGGAGAGTTCTATTGCTGGTGCTTTAGGTTTTATTTCTTTACAAACAGAAAAGCAGTTTTCTTCACATATCTAATAGTCCATCAAACCCCTGAAAAGCAAATGGGGATGGTGGAGAGGCAGGGAAAAAAGAAATGGGTGCTGATCCATGTAAACCCTGGGGGGTTATCAGACCACAGGTGTATCTTGACGTGACTCTCCCTAGCACCTAAGGGCTAGGAGATATTCCCCCACCTAGATCCAGAGAAGCCTCTGGATCTTCAAAGGCCTTTGATTCCTTCATACTGATCTCCTGCGTATTTACCTTATGAGCTTTTCAAAAGCTTCCTTTTCTTTCCGCAAAGCAGTGAGATAGCGCTGTTCCTCCGTTGACCCTCCGTATATAAGAAAGTAAACCCTGCAAGTTAAGACAGATGTCTTTTAGGCTGAAAACACATAATTTTTAATCCCTGGAAGGAAAAGCGTGAAATCAGCAACCCAGAGTGTTCAAATAATATTTGATGGAGAAGAAAAGGTTCCATTAATCACACACTTGCTAAAATCAAGCAGCCTAAACCCCACCTGTTAAAGGTCTCATTACCACATGGGCTTTTTTTCCCTTTCTTCTTTCACCGAAAGGAGGAATGGAGTTTAGGTAAACACTGAAACATAACAAAGAGGGATAGAGTAATTCTTTCCTCATCACTATAAACAAATCAGAAAACACAATCTTAGCGGCTTCTCTTTTTTCAATTTTTTCTTTGCACCCCTGCCAAACAATCATTTAAAAAGTTGGAGAGCAGTTATAAAAGCCAGCTTAGGAAAGTTCATGTTAGTGAAAAGTAAACAAATGAAATCTATATGACCTTTATCTTCACAAGTAATTTCTCAGTTCCTTTTTATTCATGTCTTAACAGAACCAAGCCATCGCACATTTTATATAAACACATGGACACAGAGGACATATGGATTATATCAAGCGCCTCAAGAAATAATTTGACATATTCTTTTCTCTTAGAAAAGGCCAGCTTTCTATCTTGTTTGTTGCTAAGCTGAATGAAGCACCTTTTCTTCACCTTCCATCAGAGCTATTTTTCCTTTTTTAATATTTTTCCTCTTTAGCCCTCGATTTTTCTTTTGACCTTCATCTTCCTAGATTGCATTTTTTAAAAGTGTGAACATGGAAAAGGCCACTGGCCAATGAGTCCAGAGACCCCCAGCTCTGCCACGAATATATCAAGTGGCCAAGGGCAAGTCATTCACCACCTCTGAGCCTTGGTTTCTCATTGTTGGACTAAGTGGTTGAACTCCAAAGCCCCTTCCATTTCTGACATTTTGTTTCTAAGCATCACACAGTATTCTATTATCAGGCAACAGAGAACTTGGGTGCACATAAGCTATCTACAGTATTGATCAATGGTAAAGTATGAAAAATTTATCAGCCTATAATTATTTTACCAGCTTCGTCTAATCTCTTTATCCTGCATTATTTCTGACCCAACTCCTCCATTCATCTCTACTTGGAAGGGTTGCCTTCGTTAAACTGGCTAGAAAGGTTTCTTTTGGCTCTGATTTTGGTTCAGGCTGAGTTCAGGATATTAATTTTGCTGTTTATTTCCCTCGGATAATTGGAGAGCCAGAACACTATATTCTTTGGGAGGCACCATTTTCTCATCTGATATTTCTGTAGATTTCTCATCTGATAGTTCTTGAAACTCAAGAAAACTTGGTACAGTAATTTCCCAAATACTTGTTTAATGTGGCTGTAACTTAGAGTCACTTCTTCAGATTTAAAAGAAAGACATTTTCGAATTATGAAATGATTTTGCTGAGTCATAATTACATGAACATTTGGGAGAAGTTAGGATATTGTAAATTTCCTAGGCTTATTCAGAGACGGCACCCTGTAGGCTACAACCGATGCATAAAGAATACGGCACCGAACAGCAGCAGAGAAGGTTAAAAGGGGAGGCGTTCCCCCAGATCCCCGGTTCCACTACAACATGCGACCTCGTCCTCAGGTGCACTTCCCAGACTGACCGGAACCACCAGACGTTTCATAAACTCAGCCAACATCCCAACAAGGCAGCGTTAAAGATCAGAAAGCCCGTGGGCAGCTGGTCTGTCTGTACTAAACCCTACAGAACTGTGAAGCTGAGCCTGTAAGGTGAGACTTCACCTTCCCTACAACTTGCCTGAGAGGCTTCCCGGGCCGAGACGCCCTGTAAATTTCAAGCTGACGCACGAAGGTCAGCTCTGCATCATACAAGACCACGTATCTCGGCTCCACCTCATGGAGCACGCGTGTCAGAGCATAGGGATCACTGCAGCCCAGGAGCGGGTGGATAATGGTGAGGGGGTCTTTCAGAATCCCGTAGGCGGCATCGGAGGACAGGTTCACATCAGACTCCTCGTGCTTACTGTCTCCTGTGCAGCTCTCCGGGCTACTGGTCAGCTCTCTTGGGCTGCCCTCCTCAACACCTGCCTCCCCCTCTAGTTCTTCAGTTCTTCCCATCATCTGAGTTAAAGTCAACCTTGGTTTCTTCTTTCTGAGGGCCTTCTCTTTGGCAGGGGGCCTGTCTTTGTCTCGGAGGTCTTTGGGCCTCTTGTTGGATTTCATGATTCTCTTCGAGTCATCTTCCTTCCTTAATCTCATCCATACATCTTCGGCTTTGCTGTCCTTCTCAAAGGTTTTTCTGTAGAGCCTCAACAAGAAGACCTCTGCTCCGACAGTGAGGTACTCTCGCAGCTGGGAACACGTCCTGTCATCACTTGCGCAAATGAGAACTTGCCCTAAAATTGAAAACAGCGTTAGGGAGCTATTAGGTCACTTCCCGCCCTCCTCCCTCTGTGCCCTCCTCCCGTCCCCCGCCGAGAAGACCCATCTCACCTCCTTGGTGCTAAAGAGACTTTACAGTTTGTCTAACAAGGGTTTCAGATGCTCATCAGAGACATTCACCTCTCTGCCAGGATCACTTAAATCTTTTGGGCAAAGCTGAAGCCAGAAATATTTAGAGACTTATGAAATTATAGCTGTGGTATAACAGAGGCTTTAAAGGAGCTCTTTTTAATTAATAATTTTCCAGAGGATCTGGAAATACTAAAATAAATACCAAATGGATTACAAAGTCAAATGTTAAACAATAAATCATAAAAAAAAGATGACTCTTCTCCATCTCTCCATATGAGGATGCTTTTCCAGGCTTAAAAGCAATGAAGAAATCTCAGAGAAGATTGATATCTGTAAACTAAGACTGACTCAATACACTGGAGAATTAACTGTGCATTATAAAGGTAAAGAAAGACTGCTCTCAAGCCTTTTGAGATGGACTGTGTTCTGTCTACAGTATGTGTACCTCTCTAAATAAACCCATTTCTAATCTTAAAAAAAGAGCTAAAGACAAAATACAACTTTATACAACTATGATAAATGTTAGTATCTTCAATGTATAAAAAGCTGATACAAACTAAGAACACAACTTAAACCAGCAAAGGAAACTAACACAATTCACAAAGGAAGAAATGCATCTGAGAAAATACTGAGTTCCCTAAACATCAAAATTTCAAACTAGATAAGCATTTTTCTCCCATCAAATTAATAAAACTGTTACACATATGTGATACATGCAGATACACACAAATATATACAGCATCTTCAGTCAATGCTAGCTAGGTGAAAAAGAGACAAGGTCTTATACTTCCAAAAGAAATGACAACTGATAAAAAAAAGAAAAAACCTACATATCAATGTGGTAATATGTTTTGAGAACTTTGAAAATGTCAGTGTCATTTGTCCCATTAATTCTACATCCAGAATTAATCTACACTATAACTTTATAGTGTTATATCTATACTATAACTTTAACAATGTGAAACAGAAAATACACAGAAGAAAACCAGGAAGGAAATATGTCAGGGTTAACAGTGGCTGCGAGACATAATTTTTCCCCCTTTTCTTTTTTCTTTATACTTTTCACTTTGTCTAAGTGGATATGTATGACTTAGGGTCATAAATCACAGCACCATATGTTCTGTGATAATATCATAGAATAATACTCACATAAGGACTCTCTGCTTGCCTTTACTGCTTTATAGGAGTCAAAGTCTCAACAGATATTCTTTAAAATTTAGTTTTATTTTTTATCCGGTTTTATTTTAAAAACTTAGCTCAGGTTCAGTCTACGGTGCTAATGTTTAAAGAGAGTAGCCCTAAAACTTAGAATTTCTTTAGGGCTAGGCCAATGTTACTCCACAGGCCAATTAACGCTTCTTTGAAAAGACTTGCAGACAACTTAAAACATAAGCCCATTAGCTTTCTCCTTGGGGATTCCAGACTTTAAGCTTTAAAGCCTAGTGAACATATATGTGGAGATCAGTTGCATCTTTTATTTTTTTATTGAAGCCTAGTTGATTTATGATGTTAATTTCTGCTGTACAGCAAACTGACTCAGGTATATACATATATACATTCTTCTTAATATTCTTTTCCAGTACAGTTTATCACAGGATATTGATTTGAGTTCCCTATGCTATATAGTAGGACCTTGTTGTTTATCCACTCTATATATAATAGTTGATTAGCTATATCTTTAAATAGAAGTTTTCCCAAGAACTCAAGCAGTAAAACAACCTGCTTTCATGAATATACAATGACTGAACTTGGAGAAAACCATCCAATGAAAAGAAAGGAAGTTGTCGTTAAGATTTTGGTGATGTGGCACTTAGTTTTCTTATTCTATAGACAAAATAATAGTGTTAAGTTATTTTTAAAGAGCTAATCAAAAGGACTCATTTGCCAGATTTTGAAGGCCAATGTCATCATCTCCTTTTTTCCTACCTGGACCACCAAGGACTTCACTCTCCTTATTCTCTGCCTCAATTTCCTTCAAAACTTCTGTGAGTGCTGCCCACTTTGGGTTGCTTTCTAGGACCAGTTCCTTTTTTGTTTCTGTATAGAAATAAATGATAATCTCATTCTATGTGGTAATGTTTATCCATAAATTATACCAAAGGCTTTGAAAACAAATAACACAGGCATCATTCTATAAGGCCATTCCTTTGAGCTTCCTTTATAACGGGGGGAGGAGGGGCAGGACTGTCAACTTAGGAGGTCTGGTTGAACATGTGCACATATAAACAGTACATCAAAAGAATCAACAAGCACCCATCAAAGTGCTTACAGTGCAGGTAGTAAAAACAAACAAACAAACAAACAAAAAACAAGCACCCACTATACAGCCCAGGAAAGTAGACTTATGAGAGAATCCAGATTCTTGAGAAGGTCTCCTTATGGTCTAAATGAAGACACTTCAAACCCAGATTAACATAGGCTCCAAAACACCTTGACAGAAAGTCATATGCATGGTCACTAATAAGAGGTGATTACATGTCAGTTGTCAACTATGATGTTATATATAAACTGCTACACAAAATAAAGGAATCAGTACAGAATAACAGTTTTTATTATTTCTAAAATCTCTATGATTTTCCTAACGCTGAACACGAGATATAAGCAGACAACAATAAAACTTTTATTTCTGTAAGTACTCAAATGTATTACTAATGTATTTAAGTTTTGAAATAGATCTTTGCACTAGGCAGGACATAAGCATGGCAGCTCAGCTGGTAACGAGTCCACCTGCAATGCAGGAGACCATGGTTCTATTACTGGGTTGGGAAGATCTGCTAGAGAAGGGATAGGCTACCCACTCCAGTATTCTTGGGCTTCCCTGGCGGCTCAGCTGGTAAAGAATCTGCCCACAAAGCGGGAGACCTGGGTTTGATCCCTGGGTTGGGAAGATCCCCTGGAGAAGGGAAAGGCTACCCACTCCAGTATTCTTGGGCTTCCCTGGCGGCTCAGCTGGTAAAGAATCTGCCCACAAAGCGGGAGACCTGGGTTTGATCCCTGGGTTGGGAAGAAGCTCCCCTGGAGAAGGCAAAGGCTACACACTCCAGCATTCTGGCCTGGAGAATTCCATGGACTGTACAGTCCATGGGGTGGCAAAGAGTTGGACATGACTGAGCGACTTTCATTTTCACGTCTTAAAAAGCCAACAATATTCACTATATATTTATTATAATAGTTATAGATGAGTGTGAAATAAAATCCATTATTTGCCTCATTCTAGTACCTCTGTTTCCTAAAAGCTAAAAAGAAAATTCTTAAAGAGATAGGAATATCAGACCACCTGACCTGCCTCTTGAGAAATCTGTTATGCAGGTCAGGAAGCAACAATTAGAACCAGACATGGAACAATGGACTGGTTCCAAACAGGGAAAGGAGTACGTCAAGGCTGTATATTGTCACCCTGTTTATTTAACTTATATGCAGAGCACATCATGAGAAACGCTGGGCTGGAAGAAGCACAAGCTGGAATCAAGATTGCCAGGAGAAATATCAATAACCTTAGATATGCACATGACACCACCCTATGGCAGAAAATGAAGAGGAACTTTCATCAAGAGGAACTTGATGAAAGGGAAAGAGGAGAGTGAAAAAGTTGGCTTAAAGCTCAACATTCAGAAAACTAAGATCATGCATCCGGTCCCATCATTTCATGGCAAACAGATGGGGAAACAGTGGAAACAGTAACAGACTATATTTTCTTGGGCTTCAAAATCACTGCAGATGGTGATTGCAGCCATGAAATTAAAAGACGCTTGCTCCTTGGAAGAAAAGTTATGACCAACCTAGACAGCATATTAAAAAGCAGAGATATGACTTTGCCAACGAAGGTCCGTCTAGTCAAAGCTATAGTTTTTCCAGTGGTCATATATGGATGTGAGAGTTGGACTATAAAGAAAGCTGAGCACCAAAAAATTGATGCTTTTGAACTGTGGTGCTGGAGAAGACTCTTGAGAGTCCCTTGGACTGCAAGGAGATCCAACCAATCCATCCTAAAGGAAATCAGTCCTGAATATTCATTGGAAGGACTGATGCTGAAGCTCCAATACTCTGGCCACCTGATGTGAAGAACTGACTCATCTGAAAAGACCTTGATGCTGGGAAAGATTGAAGGTGGTAGGAGGGGATGACAGAGGATGAGATGGTTAGATGGCATCACCGACTCAATGGACATGAGTCTGAGTAAACTCCAGGAGTTGGTGATGGACAGGGAGGCCTGGCGTGCTGCAGTACATGGGGTCGCAAAGAGTTGGACACGACTAGGTGAACTGAACTGAAACGGGATGTTAAAATAGTCCACTAAGACCTTAAGTGCCCAAATAGTAATTATACTGAAGTTAAAAAAAAAAAAATCAACCATTCTTATATAGTAGTAAGAATACTTTTGATTGATACTTTGTGTTTGTTATTTGGAATCCCCTGGCAATGAATCCATTCCAATTATTTTTTAACACAGATCACGTATGTTACATGTTAACAAATAATAAAATGCAGTCACATATTTTTCACACAGTCGAATGAGATTTAAAGTTATACTGTAACTTGATAAGCATTTCTATACCAAATACGCAAAAAAAAGACATGTTTGAAGACTTAATCATACAAGATACCTTGTTCTTCTTTAATCTCCAGTTTTTCAGGCAGTTTGCTTTTTTTACTCATTTTTGCATCTGGAACGTGATAAACCCTTGCTCGAGCATTTACAAACATTGAGGTGCTGGAGTCAAGAAAGAGCCAACCTAAGATAAAATGTTAAGGGGAAAAAAAAAGCCTTTAATTTATGGTTAACTTCAGAGAATCTCTGAAGGTCACATGACCTGTATATCAACCAGTCACCAGCTTGTTCATCTCCCAACCACATCTCCCTTGTTATGGTCTCCGTCACTGTTTGGCTAGACTGGTGGTTTTCAAAGTGTGGCCTACAGATCCCCGGGGGTCCCCAAGATGTTTTCAGGGGGATGGTCTGTGACCTCAAAACTACTCTCATACTAATACTATTACGGAATTTCCCCCACTGTGTTGACGTTTCTAATGATGGTGCAAAAGCATTGGTGGGTTATGCTGCTGGTGCCCAAGCACAGATGAAGGCAGTGGACCCAAAGTTCACTAGCAATCAATGTATTCTTCAACTCTGTGCATTTGGAGTTTATGACTCAAGAAAGTCCCTGGTGAAGCAATAAGAAATATTAACTTTATTAAATCTTGGCTCCAGGGGCCCCTGGGCCACACTTTAAAAATCACTGGTCTTGCCACACAGTGAGAAAGGTCACAGTAATGAGGCAAGAATGTGACTGGTAGAAAATCCAGTCGGTGGACAGCGGCATATGTATGCTTCCCTACAAATCTCTTCTCATTCTCTGGCTAATGAAACTCCATATTCCCTTGCCGTTTCTTTGGGGAAATGAATTTTAAGTTCATAACAACTAAACTTTCAGAATACAACCTATTTCTAAGCTGGGGACTGCCTGTGATATATGGTCTTTTCTAGAAATAAAACTGCCTGGATGGATATGAATATTTATTAATATACAGAACAGAAGTTAAGTAGGTGGAAACATTAGCTATCAATAAAACCTACATCCCTGAGCTATGAACATAAAACATAATTTGACATCTCAGTACATGATGTAGTTGAATATAGCACTCCGCACACCTGACTCCCCAATAAAATCTAGTACTTCACTCAAATCAGTTCCCAGAATAATATTAGTACTTTTATCTCCCACCTGAATTCTGACCGAATGCCTTCTCTGTTGCTCTGAGAGATTCCAGAAGATTAAGAAATGTGATACAATCATACTGAGAGAGATACTGCAGCAGGGTTCGTAATATCTTCAAATCCTGAACCAAGGATTTAGTCTTGGCTCCAAGCTGGTGCCACAAAGGATCTAAGTAATGGCGAATTGTCTAAAACAAGAATAAAATACTGCTACGAGATATTTAATATAGCTATTATTAATACAAATGATACTTGCAACAAACATTATCCCTTGCATACCTAAAAATGGTTAAAATGGTAAATTTTGTTATGTAAGCTTTACCACAATGGTTTTAAAAAATAAAAACAAAAGACATTATCTCCCAAGGAAGTGGAGAGAAAATTTAAGTTCATAAGACTCAGAACATTCTAATTAGAATGTTTAATTTTTCAAATGTAAAGAGAGTGTCATCACTACAATCTTTATGATCAGATACAGTCAATTCATAATTACCTGCATTTACATTATTAGGAGACAAAGGTCCTGATAAACATCAGATACTCAGTTATTCACTTTTATGCAGAATCAAAGCAAGTAATTGAGATACATTTAATTTCTGCCAAGTCCTGTATGGACAGAGATGTGAGAGCCAGCTGGATGAGGAAGAAGACATAAACTAGGGAAACTACATGGTATCAAATTCGTATCAGCAGACCATAGTTTGCTGCTATAAAAGATGTGTTAATTATTTTCTTTTAAGTGTGATTCAAGGATGAGAAAATATTTGTTAACAACCAACTAAATCTGAATACTTTTTAAGACCCTAAAAAAACTGTCTAAAACACAGAACAGTTTTATGTATATACTATGTAGGTATCTATATATCCACAGCTGTATATATGCATGTCTCCTTCACAAGCTGATTCTATAACTAAAAGGGATAATGCAGCATGATGCAGAAGCAGTTTCACTACATGGCATCTTATCTAACACATTTAATACTGAACGGAAGTAATATTTAGAAGACCAAATAATCTACTGTCCAAACTGGAACTCTTGTGAAAATGAAATGACAGTATTAATAATTGCTCCAGGACAACAGGCAGACACTGTGACTGTCCTAGATAAACTGGGACATATAAGCCTTTTGTATAGCATCTTTTGTTAAAAATCACCTACATGCCTCTTTTCTAAAACCATTAACAAAACTTAAATTTTCTAACAAACGCAAATTATGCTTTATTTTGTTTTAGTTATGAGATGAATACGTAAAACAATACTTGGACTTTTACTGGCCAGGGGATGATTTATAGAAATTTAGTGCGAAGCATATCTGGCTATATTTTGTTTTTCTAGGGACATATACAGAGGCTTCCCTGGTAGCTCAGTGGTAAAGAATCTGCCTGCAGTGCAGGAGACCTGGGTTTAATCCCTGGGTTGGAAGATTCCCTGGAGAGGAAATGGGAACCCACTGTAGTATTCTTGCCTAGGAAATGCCATGGACAGAGAAGCCTGGCAGACTACACTCCACGGGGTCACAAGAGTCGGACACAACTTGGTGACTAAACCGTCACCACACAGATATATGTACCATTAGAAGAATGTGAGAGGTGTTTTTGGTATACTAGGCACTAAATTAAAATAAATTTTAAAAACAGAGGCACAAAACACATGGAATGGTTTTTATGCATCATTATTTCACAGTAAAAAGACTTCCTGGAAGAATCAGAAAAATAAGGACTTAAATTTTTCCCTTTTAAAAATCACTATGCATTATTTTTAGTGACAAAGAGATTGATTCAGAGTTTGAAAGAAAAGAACTTGTTCTACAAAAATATGAAAAAAAAGCTGCCTGAAATTTTTTTAGTTTTTTCTAGACATACAATTTGATCTTAGACATTTATGTACCTGTATTAATATTAATCTATGATGAAAAAATTAGTTGAAATAAACATTCCTAGACTACAGTCTTACCATTTTCTCACTTCAGAATGTAATTTTAAGACAGGCAAGTTTCACATTCCTCAGTAATCAAAACTCATCCAAATTATTTTTATTCCAAATAAGAGATCATAAATTACGAAGCTTCTTATGTACACTCTTCTACCTGTAGATATTCAAATGTTGTCATTTCAGAGCAAAAGGTGATTCGTTGTTCTCTTGGAGTGAAAATTTAGTCGCTTAGTCGTGTCCGACTCTTTGCTACCCCATGGATTGTAGACTACCAGGCTCCTCCGTCCACGGGATTTTCCAGGCAATAGTACTGGAGTGGGTTGCCATTTCCTTCTCCAGAGGATCTTCCCAACCCAGGGATCGAACCCGGGTCTCTCACATTGTAGGCAGACACTTTACTGTCTGAGCCACCAGGAAAGTTCTCTTACATGTACTTAAAAAAAGAGACAGTCACTGTATAACTGCAAAAACCAGAATTATGCTTAGATGCCAATCAATGTATTCGACTACAAATTACTTTCCGGTAAACCAAAGAAGATATACTTTAAATCACCTCCAACCTAATTTTAAAATGACAACAAATTCCTACTGAGAACATTATAAATATTAAAATAACTTGCATACTTAAAAATTACAACATCACAAACAGTGCTTAAAAAGGAAGAGAAATAGAGTACCTTGTCAAAAGGTTTTCCAATAGCATTTTCTAAAGATAAATCTTCAACTTCAAGTGACGGGTTATGGCATTTTAATTCCTTTAAACAGGCATTTAAAATGTCCAGAATAGCAGTCTGTATAGCAAGCATGGCAGGTGTCATAGAAACATGAATTTCTACGACTTCGGGTTTATGCAGTTCTAAAAACGAGTTTACTGCTACATGGAACCTAAAAAGACAAACATTTTTAAAATATTTTCGAGAGTTGTAAGAGCTCTGTTTCCGCTCTCAGTTTACTACTCTAGCAGCTTTCTGTAAATGGACTGAAGAAGATCAAACCAGTCAGTTCTAAAGGAAGTCAGTCCTGAATATTCATTGGAAGGACTAATGCTGAAGCTGAAAATCCAATACCTTGGACACCTGATGTGAAGAACTAACTCATTTGAAAAGACCCTAATGCTCGGAAAGATTAAGGGCAGAAGGGGAAGGAGCGGCAGAGAACGAGACAGTTGGATGGCATCATCGACTCAATAGACGTGGATTTGAGCAAACTCTGGGAAATAGTGAAGGACAGGGAAGCCTGGTGTGCTGCAGTCCATGGGATCACAAAGAGTCAGACACGACTGAGCAGCCGAACAACAACAAATGTAATTAAGAAGCAAAATGGAAAGCCAGGCGACAGTGTTTTCAGGATTACTTTTAACTATATAAGTGAAAGTATTCCTCAAGGCAAGGGTCAGGGATTGAACCCAGGTCTTCTGCGCTGCAGGGAGATTCCTTACCATCTGAGCCACCAGGGAAGCCTTAACATACACACACACCCAGCCTTTTCTAGATTCTTTTCCCACGTGGGTCATTAAAGAGCGCTGAGTAGAGTCCCCGTGCTATACAGTAGGTCCTCACTAGTCATCTATTTTAGACACAGTAATGTATGTCAACCCCACCTGCCAATTTACCCCACCCTCTTCCCCGCTGCTGATGGGTAGTTTTCAAAGTGCAAGTTAGAATCTTAGCCAGTAAATCTGTAGTTCACCTAATTCTGTTGTACACATGAGTCTCCAGATCCCTAGGGATTTCACTAAATGAACAAGAAAGTGGTGGCCTTGGGCTACCAGAAAAATAACTATCAAATCTCTTTCCTATTAAAAGAATCACAAATGTGGTGACCATTTATCTATACTTGGGTGCACTGTTATAAACCTGACTAGCATGTGTCAAGTGCGGTGACAGTAAATACTATATTAAAGTGTGAAATTAAAGTACAGCAGGTTCTCTTGCAGAAATTGGTCACATAATGCTGTTTACCTTGGCCACAGATACAGCTTCCTTACGAAAAGATTTCTCATCACTCTTTCCACGTGACAAAAGCCGGTGTCAAAGGCAACAGCGTTGTCTGTGAAGGCTTTAATAAAACCACGTTTGTTTTTCTGTCGAAAGAGGCGCAAGATGAATGCTTCTTGACAAGACTCGATTATTCTGTGAGCTCTATATACCAAGATGCCTGAGGGGGGAAAAAGCATAATTTAGAGTGCACAAAAGACATGTCATTTTTATGCTTGCTTTCACTTATTCATCACAGTTTTCCTGAATGCCTTATTTGAGCATAGGCAAGCTATTCTAGGCTGAGGATACAGCCACTAACAAAACACGAAAAGCTGTCCTGTGGCATTTACAATAAGTAATATAAGTAAGTAAGATATTTAGTTGTTATAAGGGATAAGTGCTGAGGGAAAAAAGTGAATCAGAGGACGACAAGGAGTATGTATAAGAGGTGGTGGTTTGCAATTTTCTTACTTATTTAATCTTTTTAAAAAAAACTGTAGTTGACATACAATATTATAGTTACAGGTATATAACATAGTGATTCACAATTTTGAAAGGTTATACTCCATTTATAGCTATCATAGAATACTGGCTACATTGCCCATGTTGTACAATATATCCTTGTGGCTTATTTTATACCTAATAGTTGTATTTACTACCCCAATATTTCCCCTTCCTTCCCTCTCCCCTTGGTAACAATAATATGTTCTTCTTTTTTTTTTTTTTCCACTGCACTTTGAGGCGTGTGGAACTTCTTTGACCAGGGGTGGAAACCATGACCCCTGCAGTGGAAGCACGGAGTCTTAACCACTAGACAGTCCACAAATTTGTTCTTTGTATCTCCAAGTTTGCTTCTTTTTTGGTCATATTCACTAGTTTGTTGTATTTTTTAGGATTTGCAATTTCAAGGGTACCCCACTGAGGTCTTAAGTGAGTAAAGGCTGGATGGAGATGAGAAGGGTGAGCCTTGTGACCAGGTGGGCCAAAAAAGTTCCAGTCCAAGGAAGGGTAAGAGTAAAGGCCCTGAGGTGGGGTGTGTCTGACCTGGTGGAGGAAAAATTTCTCAAAGTCAAGTGGGCCATTTGTTCTTTTATATGTGAATCAGATGTGAACTTTGCAAAACAGCTGCCTTTCAGAAGTCTGGGCAACATCTGCTTCACTTATTGTAAGAATTCAACTTTCAGAATCAGAGTATATTTTACTGAAAGATAAATTAGTCTATTTGAAATAAAAATCTTAAAAAAAAAATGCTTAAACATCTGTTTTGTGGGGTGGATGTGACAATGACACCTCTGAATTGCAAAAACAGGATATACACAAGTTTCTTTAATTAGAAAAAGAGAGTTCTGGACCAGATGATTTCTCATGTGCATATATCATACACACACGCCTCTGTGGTACAGTAGGATTAGTGGGAAATTAGAGAGACATGAAATGACAAGAGTGCACAGATGTCAATTATTCTATGACAATTCTCGCCTTTTAGATCTAAACCAAGCCAGGTACCATATATATCTGCTGTAAACTCACTGGCATGTTTTTTCTCCCATTCTCATCACTCCTGGGATCTGGAAAATGACAATACTAACCCATGACTTGTTCAATACACTTGTTCAATAGACTCAATTCAGATTCTACTATTTTGGTGTTTAAAATTTAGATTGAGGGAGATGGAGCTGAAATTTATTCTAGCCAAGCAAACTGCTTTTCAAAGACAGTAAAAACAAACAGTGCTAAGTAGAAATTTGTAGACAGAGGATTTTCAATAACACCAGTAAATGTTGTTGTTTAGTTGCCCAGTCGTGTCTGACTCTTTTGAGACCCCATGGATTGGGATTTTCCAGATAAGAATACTGGAGTGGGTTGCCACTTCGTTTTTCCAGGGGAAGGCAACATCAGTATATGTGCCCAGCTAATCTACTACTCAGAAAATACTTAGTACCTAGCAGGTGGGTTTTTCCAAGTATGCTTCTGGGCCACAATTGTGGCCCTGGACAAAATAGGACACGAAAGTTAGAAATAATAAAAACAGACTTCTAAAGAAAAGGTGAATCTCAAGTTAAGAAAATGGTGTACTCCAAAAGGTTGTCATTCTTTTGGAAGCCAGAAGAAGGAGGGAGGAGAGAAGTATATTCTATCCCAGCCCTAAGCACTGGGCTTAGGTACTTTTACAGATTTTTATTTCATTTAATCCTCACAATAACTCTATGGGGTAGGTATTACTATAGAGAGCAGGAAAGGGAAGCAACTTGACAATGGTCACCCTACAAGTAAATGGAGGCCAAAGGTTCCAAATCATGAGGGTCTGATAACACAGCTATATTCTTCCTACTAGGGGACATCATCTGAGGACCATGCACCCCTATCCCTTAAAAAAGCACAAGTAAGTTAGGTTTCTGGGTACAATTCTAGGGCCACATTTTTGCATCTCATTTTGCTGCACTGTAATTACTTCTTCACACCTATCCCCTCCTGCTTGGGCACAAGATCATTACAAGAAGAAGTAATCAGAGACTGCTTACTATGTGCCATGCATACTGCAAAGAATTCCATATACCTGATGTCAGTTCACCTTCACAATAATCCTAAGAGAAAGGAGAGAAAACTGAGCCATACAGAAATGGAGAAGCTTGCCCAAGGTCACACAGCTGGCACCTGCTGACAGTGAGCTCAAACCCAGAGGCTGCCTAACTCAGGAGAGTACCCTGCCATCTCATCATCTTTGTCTTCAGCACTGATCTCATTCCTGCCACATAAGGGCAACTGGCAAGTGAAATCTTTACTAACATTGAATGTTAAAAATGACATACAGTCTGAATGATGATAAAGCTGAATTATAGCACTGTGTATGCACATCTAACATGGAACTTTTTTTTTTCCTTTAAGTTTCCCAAGGAAAGTGTGTTCTAAGGTCTATTTAGAGATGTCAGAATATGCTTTAACAATGAAAGAATCCTCTTTCCCTATATGTTTGAAAGTATAATCTGGGGAGATATTTTCACAGTTCTCCCACTACTGAGAAGTCATGTTGGCAGGGATGCCTAGGGTGGGTGCAGTGACGCTAAAAGCTAATGACAGGAACGAGTTAGGGCTGGTGCATTCAGGACTTCCCCCGGGGGTTACATGCTCCTAGGACACTGGTCTGTAACAGCTGTGCTGAAAGCTTCTAGAGGGGCTGGGAGAATGCAGGGGACAGATGATCCCACGGGTTGTAACATTTGAAGGGATTCATTTCTGTGGCTCATTTACATTCTATTCAGCCAAGGAGCACTAACAGCTCCAACTTCATTATTGGCTGGGAATCAATCAGAAATGGGAATAGCATTTTAATTAGGAACCACCTATAAACTACACTTTGCATAGTCCATCGATTCAGATTGCTCTCTGCCTAATCAGGTTGAGCTGTTACTGGGAGTCAAGAGTAATACCGACATCTAGTGGTCATTTCAATACTTTTTTCCATTTTATCAACTTAAGTAAAGCTAAATTTATAAGTAACCAGCAAGCAGTAAAATATTTTACAATGTATCAAGATTTCGGGCTATACAAAGCCTTTTTTTTTTTTTTGCTATTATCTATTATTTATTACATACCATGTACTGTACTAAGAAATTATATTTATTTTACCTCATTTAGTCCTTATGATAACTTCACAAGGCACTATGTTCTCAACGTAAGCAATGAGACAACCTAGACTTGTGCAAATTAAGTAACTTGCTTGTAAGCAGTGGCGTTACCCTTCAAAGTCAAGTGAGTCTGACCCTAACTGTACAGCCATGCCATGGCTTATAACTGATAAATATAAAAGTACAGCAAAACTTACCATCAATCGGCTCACTATGAATCATATAAAACATTGGTTCAGGGCTTCCCTGGTGGCTCAGGGGTAAAGAACCTGCCTGCCAAGGAGAGACAATTTCAATCCCTGCTCCGGGAAGATCCCACATGTCATGGAGTAACTAAGCCAAGGCACCACAACTACTGAGCTTGTGTTTTACAGCCTGGGAGCCACAGCTGCAGAAGCCTGTGTGCCCCAGAGCCCGAGCTCCGCAAGAGAAGACACCACAATGAGAATCAGCCCACACACCACAGCTACAGGGGAGCCCCTGCTCAAAGCAACTGGAGAAAAGGCCACTCGGCCACGAAACCCAGCACAGCCAAAAACAAATCTAATTATAAAGTATTACAAATGACATTTTCATTAAAAAAACATTCATTCATACATTTATGCATTAAATATTTCTTGAGGGTCTTCGAGGCTCAGGACAATGTGTTAGATAGAGTAGGAAGGACAATTATGAATTCCAGCACCAACAAAGATATCAAATAGGAAATTAAAAAATCCCTTGATATGAAAGAAAACAGAAACATAACTTTCTAAAGTCTATGGGATGCAGTAAAAGCAGTTCTAAGAGGGAAGTTTAAAGTGATACAGGCCTACCTCAAGAAGCAAGAAACATCTCAAGTAAACAACCTAATTTTCCATTTAAAGGTATTAGAAAAAAACAAACATAGCCCAAAGTCAGCAGAAAGAAGAAAATAAAAATCTGAGTGGAAACAGAGACCAAAAAAATCAAACAAACAATAGAAAAGATCAATAAGACTAAAAGTTGTTTTTCTTTAAAAGACAAAATTGATCTTTTAGCAAGACTCCTCAAGACAAAAAAAAGGGGGAAGGGCCCAAAAAAAATTAGAAAGGAAAGAGGCAAACTTACAATTGATATCACAGAAATATAAACAGTCATAAGAGAATATACTAAGAGTTATATGCTTACAAATTGGACAACCTAGAAGAAACGGATAAACTCCTAGAAACATACAATCTTCAAAGATTGAATCAGAAAAAAATAAAATATCTAACTAGTAATAAAACTGTATCACTAATAAAAAAATCCCAACAAAGAAAAATCTAGGGCTAAGAATTCCACCCAACATTATAGGAAAAGGAAATACCTATGTTTCTCAAACTATCAAAAAACTCAGAGGATGGAACACCTCAAAACTCATTCTACAAGGTCAGCATTATTCTGATACCAAAACCAGACAAAGACACTACAAAAAGAGAAAATATCCCTGATGAACACAGATGCAAAAATCCCCAACAAAATATCAGCAAACTGAAATCAACAATAAATAAAAAGGATCACACATCATGACCAAGTGTGATTTATTCCAGGGATGCAAGGATGGTTCAATATTGAAACTTGACTTGTGACTACTGAAATATATATCCGATGGAACATTGCTTAGTCATAATAAAAAATGAAATTTTGCCATTTTCCACAACATGGATGGACCTGGAAGGTATTATGCTAAGGGAAGTAAGTCAGACAGAAAAAGACAAACACTGTGTTTTTACTTTTATGTGGGGTCTAAAAAATAAAGCAAATGAACAAATGTAAAAAAACAGGAACAGACAACAAACTAGTGGTACCAGTAAGGAGAGGGATGGGGGAGAAGCAAAATACAAAAAGCAGATCAAGAGGTACAAACTACTAAGTATAAAAGAAACAAGTTAAAGATGTAATGTACAGCTCAGGGAATACAGTCAATCTTCATAATAAATTTGTATGGAGCATAATCTATAAAATATTGAGATACAATGGAAAAAAGACAACCTCTTTAACAAGTGGTGCTGGGAAAACTGGTCAACCACTTGTAAAAGAATGAAACTAGAACACTTTCTAACACCATACACAAAAATAAACTCAAAATGGATTAAAGATCTAAATGTAAGACCAGAAACTATAACACTCCTAGAGGAGAACATAGGCAAAACACTCTCTGACATAAATCACAGCAGAATCCTCTATGACCCACATCCCAGAATATTGGAAATAAAAGCAAAAATAAACAAATGGGACCTAATGAAACTTAAAAGTTTTTGCACAACAAAGGAAACTATAAGCAAGGTGAAAAGACAGCCCTCAGATTGGGAGAAAATAATAGCAAATGAAGAAACAGACAAGGATTAATCTCAAAAATATACAAGCAACTCCTGCAGCTCAACTCCAGAAAAATAAATGACCCAATCAAAAAATGGGCCAAAGAAATAAACAGACATTTCTCCAAAGAAGACATACAGATGGCTAACAAACACATGAAAACATGCTCAACATCACTCATTATCAGAGAAATGCAAATCAAAACCTCAATGAGGTACCATTACATGCCAGTCAGGATGGCTGCCATCCAAAAGTCTACAAGCAATAAATGCTGGAGAGGGTGTGGAGAAAAGGGAACCCTCTTACACTGTTGGTGGGAATGCAAACTAGTACAGCCGCTACGGAGAACAGTGTGGAGATTCCTTAAAAAACTGGAAATAGAACTGCCATATGACCCAGCAATCCCACTCCTGGGCATGCACACCGAGGAAACCAGATCTGAAAGAGACACGTGCACCCCAATGTTCATCGCAGCACTGTTTATAATAGCCAGGACATGGAAGCAATCTAGATGCCCATCAGCAGACGAATGGATAAGGAAGCTGTGGTACATACACACCATGGACTATTACTCAGCCATTAAAAAGAATTCATTTGAATCAGTTCTAATGAGATGGATGAAACTGGAGCCCATTATACAGAGTGAAGTAAGCCAGAAAGATAAAGAACATTACAATATACTAACACATATATATGGAATTTAGAAAGATGGTAATGATACCCTATATGCAAAACAGAAAAAGAGACACAGATGTACAGAACAGACTTTTGGACTCTGTGGGAGAAGGCGAGGGTGGGATGTTTCGAGAGAACATCATCGAAACATGTATATTATCTAGGGTGAAACAGATCACCAGCCCAGGTTGGATGCATGAGACAAGTGCTCGGGCCTGGTGCACTGGGAAAACCCAGGGGGAGCGGGTAGAGAGGGAGGTGGGAGGGGGGATCGGGATGGGGAATACATGTAAATCCATGGCTGATTCATATCAATGTATGACAAAACCCACTACAATACTGTAAAGTAATTAGCCTCCAACTAATAAAAATAAATGAAAAAAAATATTGAATTAACTGTGTTATACACCCAAAACCAATGTAACACTGTAAGCGAATGAAAATTTCAAATCATAGCTTAAAAAAAAAATACTCTTTAAAGAGGAAAACCAAACTACTTTCAGGGATATACAAAGAATATTTATAAACATTCAAATCTGATTAGCTTCTAAAAGCAACCGCCAGTCAATTACTAAGCACTGACTGAATATGAGCTTAAAAAACACAGAAATGTCAATCTTACATTTAGTTTCTTATTCAGGCCATAAATATTTACTGAGCATCCAAAATGTGTCAGGTATTGTGTTAACACCTGGAAGCAAAATGCTGAGCAAAAAAACATCCAATGCTGTTTTCAACAAGGTTCTAGTTTAGAGTTTAGCAGAGGGAACAGACATACATGGAAAAAAAAGAAACATATGCAAATAAACAATAAGGCTTCAAATTCTCACCGGTAATTAAATCTGAAGGTATTCTATCAGTCAGGAAATCAACCACAAGTATTCGGCTTGTTGCAAATATCACACCGCCTTGTGTGTATACTTCATAGCGATTGCTACTTGTGATTTCATTTGTTACTCGCCGAGGGAGATGTTCAACTCCTTCTATCTTCAGCTGATTGATAAAATACTCCTAAATCAAATTAAACTGGATTAGCAGACTATTTAATACAGGGCAGTTTTTAATAGGTTGCAAGTGTTTGTATTTAAAGAGCTTCCCTGAAGGCTCAGAGGTAAAGAATCCTGTGGCAACTCAGGAAACCTGGGTTCCATCCCTGGGTAGGGAATGGCCCCTGGAGAAGGAAATAGCAACCCACTTCAGTATTCTTGCCTGGAGAATCCCAGGGACAGAGGAGCCTGGGGGGCTACAGTCCATGGGGTTGCACAGAGTCGAACACGACTGAGCACGGCACGGCAAAACAGCAGTATTTGTACTTAAAATGACATGCGGCCTTTTTCAGAGATTATGAACTATATCATGAACATACAAATTAAATTACTACTTAACACCAATCAATAGACATTTACTTAGGGTTTTGTTTTTGTTTTGGGGTTTCCACTAAAGACTCATTGCACTTGAGATGTTATTAGCAGTTTAACAACAAAAAGACTTTAAAATCCTGGGCTAAAGACTGCTACCTAGAAAATACTGCCTGTCAGAGGTGGCTTTGCAGTCACGTGTACCGTGTGAGAGGATAACAAGGGAACCCTTTCCCCAGGTGGTGTTTTAGACTATTAGTTCTGTCCCGGTGCCCCCTAGAGGGGATTTCATCATGTCAGTGGGACCCTTGGTCCTTCACATCTTCAGTTCCGTGCCAGGGGGGCGTGACAGGGGGGTGCCTGTCATGCTAAGTCCCAGTCGAGCACAAGGGATACCCAGATGAATCAGCCTGGTCCCCAGCTCTTAGGAGTTTATGGTCACTCTTCTCAGCTGGCATTTTCCTTGAGGCCACCTGCTCTAGATATCTAGGGGCTCATCAGACTTGTCAACCAGGCTGTGACACCTGTCACTATCCCACAACACAGGTGTATCCTATTTTCCTCAGTGTCCTCCACTCTCCCGAACCCAGGTACCCGTTCCCAATAACCTCAGCTTCCAGCTCCCTTCCCTTCGGACCCTGTGCCCCGCGTCCCTTAAGCCTGGGTGAACCCCCAGTGCGTCCCGTCCCTGCTGAGTTCTCCCCAGCCTCAGCGTCTCCTAAGTCCTCATTGTGACTCCTTCATCCCCATCACTGTTCCCTTCTAGGGACCTCACTGCTCTTGCTCCAGCAAGTCCCTTAATATCCAATTTGAGGACTGCCTCGTTATTCCCACCCATATGCTCCTCCAAGTATCTCCCCACCCTCTCCAGAGACCTCCGATCCTTCTCCCCACCTCCATCCTCCTCAAATGAACTCCCCTAACTGCTCTCAGAGACCCTCCAACACTCAGCGTCCTCGCACCTGTGTCACGGTCCCGCATCTTCCCTGGGGACCCTGCCGCCCTCTCAGGGTCCTGGCACCTACGTCAGCATCCTGCGACCACCTCGGGACCTCTCCCACCTTTCCAGCGTTTCCGCACCCGCGCCAGGGGCCTGCATCTACCTCAAGGACCCTTACTCCACGCCCTCCCGCCCGCGTCAGGGCCCCGCATGGCCCTCGGCCTCCGCGCGAGGCCTGCGTCCGCTCAGGAGACCCCCACCCCCCACCCCCCAGCTCTCTCGGGGTGCCCTCGTCCCCCGTGCCAGCGGCCGGCCGCACCTCCTCGGCCGGCTGCGTGTTGAGCACCAGCACGAGGCACGCCGGGTGGCAGTGCAGCCGGAGGAAGTGATAGAGGAGCCGGTCCGCGCCGAGCCCGCGGGCGCACACTACCAGTCCGTCGGCGTCCAACAGTTCCAGCACCAGCTGCCGCTCGTATTCCAAGAGCGGCGCCATAGCCGTCGCTCGAGCCGGCGAGCCCGGCTCCATGGGCGCCCTTCCGGGGCCGCGGCCGAACGTAGCCGAAGGGGGCCGAGTCTGAGACGAGAGTGGGCGAACCAGGCCGAAGAGAGCCGAGCGTAGCCGAAGGGGGCCGACTCCGAGACGAAAGCCGCCGAACGTAGCCGAAGAGAGCCGAGCCCGACAGGACGAGAGCTGGCCGAACGCAGCCGAAGAGGAACCTAAAGGAATCGAAGATTCGTGGAGTCGCGGGGAGGTGCTATCGCTTTCAACAGGTGTCTGCTGCGGGCTGCAGGTTTCACCTTGTCTGTAGTTTAGATCTGAGAGTCAGGCGGCCTAGACCCACCAGAGCACAGGCTACCACAAAGCATTAGAGGAGATGTAAACCCAAGGAATTGAGCTCCCTGACATTGTCCATTGAAAAAGTTAACAGTCTAAGGATTGCGCTTAGAATGGGTAGCACCTGCTACCCAGGGTGAGGTTTGCTCCTTTCTTTTGCAACGGGCCCCTCTTAAAATTTTTTTTTGAATAAGCAGAATAGTTTGTTAATCTCAGACTCTTGCTTCTCTCGAAAGGTCTTGACTATAATTGCCGCTGCTGCTAAGTCGCTTCAGTCGTGTCCGACTCTGCGACCCTATGGACTATCGCTTGCCAGGCTCCTCTGTCCATGGGATTCTCCAGGTAAGAATACTGGAGTGGGTTGCTATGCCCTCCTCCAGGTGATCTTCCCCACCCAGGGATTGAACCCGCCTCTCTTACGTCTCCTGTATTGGCAGGTGGGTTCTTAGCTCTGTGAAAAGTCGCAACCAGGTGTACCCGTGGCAGCCTGGTCTAGTCTTCCACTAGGGGGACACCTAGGTATTTGTTCTGTAGGTAGAAATGCCTATAATCTAATTAGAGGAATTCTTCTGTGTGTACGCACCTTTTCCCCCAAGCTTCATTATTAGAAAATAAAAAATACTGTATAAGTAAGCAAAAATAAAAATCATTTGTAATTCTGTTACTAGAAATTACTACTGTAACATCATCTACGCTTTTAGTTTTTGTCTTTTTTTTTTTTTTGGTATATAAATTTTCACCACACAGAATTATTTTACTGATATCATGAGTAACCCTGATTTAAATCAAGAGTTTGTTGCTCTCATTTGATAAATCTGTGAACGTGGTATTTAATATTCTTCTACAAAATTCTTTTTCGTGACAGTTTTATTGAGGTAATTGTACAGTCACATTCAGTTGTAAGAAATGCTGTTGCTGTTTAGTTGCTAAGTTGTGTCCAACTTTTTTGGGACCCCGTGGACTATAGCCTGCCAGGCTCCTCTGTTCGTGGGATTTCCCAGGCAAGAATACTGCAGTAGGTTGCTATTCCCTCCTCCAGGGGATCTTCCCAGCCCAGGGATTGAACCTGTGTCTCCTGCATTGGCAGCCAGATTCTTCACCACTGAGGCACCAGGGAAGCCCCCCAAATTTTCTTATGTATATATGACTGATGAGATTTCTGCAATGCAAATGTACCATACTCATTTACCTAATTCCTTATTAGTGGACATTGAGTCTGTTTCCACTCCCCCCTGAGATATTGTAAATAATATTTTATTGAGCATCTTCAGACATAAATTCAACTATGCCCCTAAGATGCACCTTAGAAGTGGGTACTTACTAGGATAAAGAGAACAAACATATAAAAGGTTTTACATTACATCCATGGTGCCACATCACCTTCTAGAAAGCCTGTACCAATTTATATCAACATCAGCAGTTTACAGGGCTTCCCTGATGGCTCAGTGGTAAACAATCTGCCTGCCAGTGCAGGAGATGTGGTTTAATCTCTGGGTCCAGAAGATCCCCTGAAGGAGGGCATGGCAACCCACTCCAGTATTCTTGCCTGGAGAATCCCATGGACAGAGGAGCCTGGTGGGCTACAGTCTGTGATGTGGCAAAAGAGTTGGGTGCAGCTGATCACACAGCAAGAGGATCTGTTTCTCTACCTTTTACTGCTTAGTCTAGTATTTTATGTACATTTTGTCAAGATTTAAACAGTATAAGGTATTTCCTAAGTGTTGATTAAATGGAAAAGAATGTCTGCCGACATTCTCCATACACTTGTTCTATGAGACACATGTGAATCCCTCCACTTTTGCAAGTGAGAAAAAGGAGTCTCAAGGAGCTTTTGTAACTTGGCCAAGACCAGTCAACTAGTTAGGGCATTTAGTTCAGGACATGATAAGTAGAGACTCAACACGTGTGAAGGATATGCATGTTGAAGTAACAACTCTGATATTCAAACCTGATTCCCAGCTGTGATATGCAAAGTAATGGCTCCACAAAGATGTCCATGTTTTAATCCCTTGGTACCTGTGAATATGTTACCTTATATGGCAAACGAGACTTTGCAGACTTTATTCATTTAGAGATTTCAAGATGGGGAGTGTATTTTGGATTATCATGGAGGGCCCACTGTAATTATGAGAGTCTATATAAAGGAAGGAGAGAGACCAGAGGGTGAGAGTCTGAGAAGGAGATATGACAGTGGAAAGAGAGATTGGAATGATGTGGAAGGGGCCACGAGCCAAAGAATGCTGCCTTTTGTAGCTGAAAAAGGCAAGGGAATGAATTCTCCTCTGAGGCCTTCGGAAGGAACACATTCTTGCCAACTGATTTTGCACTTTTGACCCCAAGAACTGGAATATAATGAACTTGGGTTGTTCTAAGCCCCTATATTTGTGGTAATTTGTTATAGCAACTGGAAACTAATACACACGGATTCACTATTTCCACTAAACTGAGCTCTACAGATGAAGTCCGATAAGAGTATATAATGAAGCAGTAATTTTGGAGGATGATTGGTCAATATATAGAGAAATTTAAAATATCTATATAGATCCATATATGTGAAAATATATTTACCCCACAAGTATTTATTGGGCACCCATGACTTGTCAGTAACAAAACAGATAAAAACTTGGCTACCGTAAAACTTATATTCTGTGGGGAACTTATGTATGAAGATGTTCATTCATCATATAATTTTGTGAATTATCATTTCTCAGACATTTCTCCTGAATTTCTAATGCTAGGAGACTAGTCAAAACTTCTTCCTGCATCCCTAATAAGTGGAATATCATACCATACTTACAAGCTGTTCAGTTAAGTCGCTCAGTCATGTCTGACTCTGCGACCCCATGAACCGCAGCACGCCAGGCCTCTCTGTCCATCACCAACTCCTGGAGTCCACCCAAACTCATGTCCATTGAGTCGGTGATACCATCCAACCATCTCATCCACTGTCATCCCCTTCTCCTCCTGCCCTCAATCTTTCCCAGCATCAGAGTCTTTTCAAGTGAGTCAGCTCTTCGCATCAGGTGGCCAAAGTCTTGGAGTTTCAGCTTCAATATCAGTCCTTCCAATGAACACCCAGAAATGATCTCCTTTAGGATGGACTGGTTGGATCTCCTTGCAGTCCAAGGGACTCTCAAGAGTCTTCTCCAACACCACAGTTCATTTTTTAAAATTTATTTTTATTTTTTTTATTTTTTTTATTAGTTGGAGGCTAATTACTTTGCAATATTGTAGTGGTTTTTGTCATACATTGACAAGAATCAGCCATGGTTTTACATGTATTCCCCATCCCGATCCCCACTCCCACCTCCCTCTCCGCCCGATCCCTCTGGGTCTTCCCAGTGCACCAGGTCCGAGCACTTGTCTCATGCACCCAACCTGGGCTGGTGATCTGTTTCACCCTAGATAATATACATGTTTCGATGATGTTCTCTTGAAACATCCCACCCTCGCCTTCTCCCACAGAGTCCAAAAGTCTGTTCTGTACATCTGTGTCTCTTTTTCTGTTTTGCACATTGGGTTATCGTTACCATCTTTCTAAATTCCATATATATGTGTTAGTATACTGTAATGGTCTTTATCTTTCTGGCTTACTTCACTCTGTATAATGGGCTCCAGTTTCATCCATCTCATTAGAACTGATTCAAATGAATTCTTTTTAATGGCTGAGTAATATTCCTTGGTGTATATGTACCACAGCTTCCTTATCCATTCGTTTGCTGATGGGCATCTAGGTTGCTTCCATGTCCTGGCTATTATAAACAGTGCTGCGATGAACATTGGGGTGCACGTGTCTCTTTCAGATCTGGTTTCCTCGGTGTGCATGCCCAGAAGTGGGATTGCTGGGTCATATGGCAGTTCTATTTCCAGTTTTTTAAGAAATCTTCACACTGTTTTCCATAGCGGCTGTACTAGTTTGCATTCCCACCAACAGTGTAAGAGGGTTTCCTTTTCTCCACATCCTCTCCAGCATTTATTGCTTGTAGACATTTGGATAGCAGCCATCCTGACTGGAGTGTAATGGTACCTCATTGTGGTTTTGATTTGGATTTCTCTGATAATGAGTGATGTTGAGCATGTTTTCATGTGTTTTTGTGCCATCTGTATGTCTTCCTTGGAGAAATGTCTGTTTAGTTCTTTGGCCCATTTTTTGACTGGGTCATTTATTTTTCTGGAGTTGAGCTGCAGGAGTTGCTTGTATATTTTTGAGATTAATCCTTTGTCTGTTGCTTCGTTTGCTATTATTTTCTCCCAATCTGAGGGCTGTCTTTTCACCTTGCTTATAGTTTCCTTTGTTGTGCAAAAGCTTTTAAGTTTCACTAGGTGCCATTTGTTTATTTTTGCTTTTGTTTCTAAAATTCTGGGATGTGGGTCATAGAGGATCCTGCTGTGATTTATGTCGGAGAGTGTTTTGCCTATGTTCTCCTCTAGGAGTTTTATAGTTTCTGGTCTTACATTTAGATCTTTAATCCATTTTGAGTTTATTTTTGTGTATGGTGTTAGAAAGTGTTCTAGTTTCATTCTTTTACAAGTGGTTGACCAGTTTTCCCAGCACCACTTGTTAAAGTGGTTGTCTTTTTTCCGTTGTACATCCTTGCCTCCTTTGTCGAAGATAAGGTGACCGTAGGTTCGTGGATTTATCTCTGGGCTTTCTATTCTGTTCCATTGATCTATATTTCTGTCTTTGTGCC